ACTTAGTGTAAGCCGACTCCACTTTGCTTTCCACGTTATATCAATTAGCACAGAGCTCACACTGCATCACCACAGAAACAGCAACAAAGGTTCAAACAGGCTGTAAAGTTAAACAAGCACCTCTGCAAAAAACATTTCAGCTTCCACACAGGTCAGGTTTAGTGCAACACTTCTGCATCACATTTGTATGCTACAAATAAAACACATGCATACACAATGCTGAAATTATAGAGTTAATCTCATGCAGCGTGAAAGATGACTTGCCTGCTACGGCTGCGGCTGAAGCTCCTCCTGCGTGGGGATCTGCGCAGGGAAAATACAAACGTGTTAAGGACAAAGACAGATGGATTGATCACTGTGTAGAGCTCCACATTATTTACTCCTTTTCTTACACGGGGCTCCCTCAGCACAGCCCTTTGGCTATCTCAAGAACTCAAAATGGAAGTAAACGACTTGCGTGTTTTTCCAAGGAAAACAAAGACTTCAACCAGAAAACAGAAGTCACTGGCAGTGGACCCAGCACATAAAGATGGCAGGTGCAGAGGAAACCACCTCTCACCTTTCCCACAGTAAAACATGCACCTTTCAATAAAGTCCAATTATATTTCAGTCTAACTTTGAAATGCAGATTAGGATTCGTCCCGTGATTCATAAGCAGTAGGTTCAGAGCTCCGAGGCATGAAACACCAGCAGGATTTTCATCTTAAGGTAATTTGATATCGTACTGTGGATTGGCTCTGATGTGGGGAATCAAAAACCCAGCACACCATTTGGGCCACCATCTGTATGAATTCAGTCCACTGCACTTTAAGGGAAAAATGTACAGAAATGGAAATTGGTACCAAAATTTATTTTTCACAGGGAATAAGCCTCGTGAAACAGCCAGGCTAAGATCTCAAACCGGGAACACACACATATACACACACACAAAAAGATCTGATATTCATAGGGGGTGTTTAAGGAAAGTTTTGATGTGACTTCATAATTCTGCTCAGAGCCCCAAGACATACCAGATGATTATCTATCATCGAAATCTCTGGAAACATGACGTTCCAGATATTTGATGTTGGTCCATCCCCCTTTGAAACAAGGACTACAGAAATGGTGGACGACAAAATGACAAACTTATGATCAAAATAACAATAATTTTAAAAAAAAGAACAACCCTTTTAAACCAGCTGTCTCTTCACTTTTAAAACTGTAATCAGCAGTGTACTGAATGAAGCAGGAAAACTTACTAGTATTTTTGGTTTTCAACAAGCTAGAAATGACGAAAGGGAGGCAGACTGTCGGCCGGGTGGGTAGAATTGGCTGAATAGGACTGGCCAGATGCTGCAAGGTGATTAGGTGGCAGGCAGATGGGGGCTGGCTGTGGCTTTTTTCCTGCTTTAATTGGTTAGCCGAAGGCTGCTGCTGGTAGGTTGTAGACATTTGGGAACGTAATACGCTGATTGGTCGGGAATGTGAGGTGGCCGCTGCCGTTTGGGTTAAGGTTGAAGGAGGAGGAGGTTGAGAACGGCATGCTGAGGAACCAATGGGCTGGTGCAACCTGACGACTGGCCATGCCTGGGTCATGTGACAGCACCAGCCAAGCTGATTGCGGCCCGATGATCAGCAGTCACATGATGCTGAAAGAGGACTAGTTGATTGACTCAGAGGGTGGTGAGAAGAGGCATGGTGGTGGCTCTGCAACGGGTTCATTCTTATTAATATAGATGAAAAATAAAAAGCATCCTCAAACAAAAAGAAAAAAAATTGCATCACATTTGGCACTTTTATTCCCCCCAAAATGTATACTTATACTTAGCCTATACTTTTACTGACTGCCTAAATCTGTTTCCCCACACCCATTTTTGCCTTTTTAAAACAGTTAAAATGAGACTGCACAAAAATGTGCGTTTCAAAGGAAGCCTTTATAACCTAGGTCTTGCAGACCACACTTTAGATGCCTCAGAAACAGAAAGGCAGCCCTCTCTATATTCTGAAATAATGCCCCTTTTTCCACTACATGATGGTGAATGACTATCTGTGTGGCTCCTTCCATAAAATGACCATTAATGTCAATGAAGATGAATCTGCAAGCCTTAGGCATTGCAACACCCACAAATATATAATCACCAGAAAAGGTCACAAACACTAGAAATACCTACACTGGAAACCCAAATGCAATTAAAGGGAACTGTACTGTGGGCAAGAAAGTTGAACCGGTAAGTGACCAAGCAAGAATAAAGTGCAGAATAGATTGGTTATCGTGTCTACTGGCCAACAACAACATGTAGGTCACCTGCGTCTGGGTGGTGGGCTACGCCGCCTGTAGTCGTCTCGGTCTCTAGGACGCCTGCTCCATGAAGGGGGAGCGCCTCGAGTGCGGCTACGCTTCTCGCCAGTAGATAACTCCACACGCACCCGACAGCCACACAAAGTCCTGCAAAAGAAAAAATAAAAAACATAAATAGAAAGTATTTTTCCTCGTTTTTCCAATAAAATGACTTACTTAGCACACTTTAGTGGGCTGAATATATCATTTGAATGTCTGAATGTAGTCTAAATGTCTGCTAATGTAACAGATGTGATGACCAATAACATGTTATCATTGTTAAAAGTGTGACTGCATGAGAGGAGCTCTCCTTTCTGCGGAATGGGAGCAATGTCCTGAACTTGAGGGAAAGAGTAGTACCGATCCAATAGCAATACCTTCATTTAAGTAGACTATTCATGTGGATGCAGCGTTTTCAGTAAGAAACGTTTCATCATCTTCCACTGAAAACGCCATGTCCAGATGAACAGAATCCACTTACCTGACCTGGATGATTGAGCATGCATAAACTGATTTGCATAGGTTGCCACCTACCTTCCATCAAGTTCCCGCACGGCATCAGTTGCATCTCTGGGATCTTCGAACTCTACAAAGGCGAAGCCTGGGGGGTTCCTGGCCACCCAAACACTCCGGAGAGGACCATAGTAGCCAAATGCTCTTTCTAACTCTGTCTTGTTTCCATTGTTGCCGAGATTTCCAACGTACACCTTACAGTCAAGGGGACAGTCACGATGCATGACTGTATCTGAAAAATGAGCAGAATAATATTAATGTTTTAGCTCTAAGTCAAAGACTGGTAAATGGCCTGTATTTGTATAGCGCTTTACTTAGTCCCTATGGACCCCAAAGCGCTTTACACTACAAAGACTGGTCACACTCTCTCTCACTTAGCCATTTACCACAGTGCAATACATGCTACCCAATGACCCACAAACGAATTGGGAACTTGGCCTACTTTCTGCGCTGGATTTGCAGGTTATGCTAACGGAAACTTAAAAAACAAACAAACAAAAACAGACCGCCAGACGAAGCGAATCTCAAATGCCTTAGTTAACTCGTTTGCTTTATATCTCCAACTATATTGTTGCATATTCGACGCTGCATTGTGTTTCGAGGCTAACAGCTTATTTACAGGGAGCTAAAATGGCTGCCGCCTACCGAGGCCTACTCAGCGGTAGCAGCACTCGGCTAGCAGCCGCAGAAATTTATACTATACATTCACATATGTGAAGTAAACTCACAACAGGTCGTTTTACAAACATATAACAACGCAATAAATTGAAACGCTACCGTTTTAGGTGTAAATATCAGCTCAGATTATCGATTGTGATCCGGCTAAATTGTGCCTTTTCGTCTTCGGTGGAAAATGGCGTGACGTCAGTGGATTAACAGGATGCCACTTTCGAGAGGGCGGGGTTAATGTCGCCTCCTTCCTTTGCCCCCCTCCCCAACAACAGTTGTCCAAGTTTTGGCTGCCTTTTCATTCTATCCAGTCCTTGTACATGGCCTTCAGAGGAATGTATTGTTTACAGTGTGAATAGATTTACCAGAGCTCAAGGAAAAATTATGTTACTAACGAGTTACATAGCATAGTTAAATTGATGTAAAGTATTTCTTCAAATCATATTAAGAGAAATTGAGATATTTGAACTAATAAAGGTATAAATAAATTGTACTCTGTACAATAAAGCACTTTGGGACTCTTCTTCTCTCGGTTGCTCCCTTAGAGGTCTCCACCACAGTGGTCATCTGGTCACCTGTCTCCATTTCACCCTATCCCTGGCCTCCAGCCCTCATCATGCCCTACTTCACTACATCCATGAATCTTATCTGTGGTCTTTCTCTTTTTCTACTGCGTTGCATCTTCATCTTCAACATCCCTTGTAAAATATATTCACTATCCCACCTATCCCACGTTCAATCCATCTCAGCCTTGCTTCTCTAACTTTGTGTCCAAACCTCTTCCACCAGCTCCCTACCCTCACTACTGATTACAATGTTGTCTACAAACATTATAGTCCACATAGACTCCTGTCTGACCTCATCTGTTAGCCTGTCCATCACCCCTCCAAACTGATGTAATCACCTACCCACCTTAAACCCATCCTTCACTCCTACCATATTATTACTGAGATACTAATGTACAAATGTAATGCATACTGGAAAACAGAATTTTTTCTGTTTTTGAAAAGAGTAAGTTGTGGCTAATAAGATAACTTCATTCACAGAATCACAGAAAAGAAGTGGAAACATAATAAATAAAACGTGTTATGGTTGTATTTTCTTGGCAAGATTTTTGTAAGATTTTTCTGCCAGTGGTTTTCCAAAATAATAGCTTGATCCACGTATAACTGATACACGTCCAATTTCCTGAGTACAAAGGCTGTTTACTCCCTGCCAAAACAAATGAGTACACACTGTGTTTATTTACAGTGTGGAATTGGGACATACTTCCTGCTTAGACTACGACTAAAATGTGGGGGAAACTGTAACTGTAAAGTTAAAGTTACATACGTCCGCCATATCTCACAAAACCGAAAGTACTATACTATAACGGGATCTAACATGTCAAATTTGGCCAAAAAGGCAATATATATACATTAAAATGTAAATTAAAGGACGTGTTCATCATTCGTAACGTGCTATCCCAGTTACCCTGAACGTAGCTTAACACGCGAGCCGCCCACTCAGTCTGCTAGTAACCGCCCACAAAGTTGGTCAGCCAGGTGACAGGAGAGCCAGCCGGGAAACAGCACGGACCACGTCCCGCCTGCGTTAGGAAGTCGACTACGTAACGATTCACAACCAAATCAAAGTCGACTAGGCAAAACCACCTGCTTAAATCCTGCGTTTATTGCCTGCTTTCACGTGCTCGCAATCTGACAGCCTCTTATCCGTTAGCAGTTGCGACGTAACCAGCTAGCAGTTCGAGGACACCCATAACATAACGCTAGCCTCTGACGTTAGAGAAGACTCAACGGTTGGTTGTTGTATTTCTGTCCGGGTAAAGATAGATAAGCCAGCAGCGAGATGTCCGAACCGGTCGGAGAGGCGAAGCTGGAAGTGAAGCAAGCGAGCAAAGAGGTGAAGGAGAGCGAGAACGTAGCGGAAAAATATTCAGCCATGACCGTGAGCAAAAACAGCGAAATAACCATGGGAGAGCTGTCGACTGTCTTCAGCGCTGTGCCCACTCACAAACCGGTTAAAAAGGTAAGTCTGCACCAGGTGTAAGCATAACGGCACCGAGGAGGACCCTTGGATAATAAAACAAACCTCCAAGGCTCTTTTTAGCGCGATAACAGCACTTTATAGGTGCTGTATCTTCTTTGTTTATGGGTATTTGTATAGTCAGACTTCACCTTCTTTTTGCAACGTGAATACATTTTATTAGAGCTCAAAGACTTCTGATTTTAAGAAAATATATATGGTACTAATGAGTTATATGTCAAAGGGGGTTAGGGTATCTGTGCACCCATAACAGTCCACACACATTGCTATTGCGTGTGACAAGAGAATTAAAAAGTTGTTTAAACCCACATTAAGTAATTAAAGAGTCACACGTCAAGTCCAAAGAAACTTAAGCATTTTCTGCATGTGTATAATGGCTCACACCTCTAATAATAACAATAAAACTTTATAATTGTGCATTTTTATTCACATATCCCCCGTATTACAAATTTACTACAGTTTCAGCACACTTTCAGCAGCGGCTTCTGACCTGAAATTGCGAAACAAAAGAACCACTTGTTCCTTGTAAAACTTGCAAAAAGAAGTTATTTGACACACTCCAGGAACAAGGAAGAGCTGTGCCTTTCACTTTTGAGGCTGAATGGACAGTGTTTGCACACTCCATGTAAGTTGCACTGAAGTGGACAAATCACAATGCACAATGCAACAGTTTTTGCATTTAGAAAGCATATAGCTCGACATGGGGCACGCAGTCTGTCAAATGCAAAAGTCAGCATGCTCAGCCAAGAACATATCAGGCAGACGTTCCTTTTATACTTGACTGTTTCACATCCTCATACCGTTTTAGGAAGGATCTTTACACTGAAGCGTCACTAGCTTGCAAAGTCAGGAGCCAAACATTTGACCCTAAAGAGTTCAAAGTTTTTGTATTGCTGAATTCAAAATAGTTGTGCTTAGCTGATATCAAGAAGAATTGGGAAATGTGAACATAAAGCACACTTATCAGCATGTCCTCTATGACAGCACAGTTGAGATTACTGACCTTTGATTTTAAATGTAATGCTTATGTATTCTTACATATTTAGTGTAAGACATTTAAGTTTCAAGCTTACTAATTATTTACAGTTGGAATTGGAGGGATAATGGTTAAGTCTGGGCTTCCTGGAGTTCTGATATCAGAAAGACTGTAATCTCTTTGACAGGCATTTAAAATAAAGCAACAAGTGTGATTAAATCACAGATGGCAAAGAAGAATATTGTAACACACTGGGGGGGGAGGCACACACAAAAAGAAGTTTTAAGTTTTCCTTAAAATATTGCCAAATGGTATGTGCTCAGATTCATTTTTAAAATATCTATCCCTTACTTCACCTTTAACTTTAGGTTCCATGTGGGGAATATACAGACAGATGTGTCTTCCTCCCACTACTTAAAACATGACTACAAAAAAAAGGTTTCATTTCCTCTGAAACACATTTTTTGTTTATCAAATGGCCGGAAATAATAGGAACATGCACAGAGTCCTGATTAAATATAGTAATACAGACTCAATACCTTTGAGTCCGTGCTAACCACATACTCAATCATTCTGGTAACCCACCCCCCCAACAGCTCACATAAAACAGTATGTTTCATTCAGTTGGGCCTTGGGACCCTGAAACCTACACCACCCTGCTGAACTATGTGGTGTTTTTCACCTAAATCACAAGAAGACTGCTCCTCATTGTCTTCTGTTACCATGGTGTTTAGCAGGTATGTGGATGGGGCCCCTCAAGTCAAGATAATTAATTGGAATGATGAGAATATTTCATTTACAGTTCTATTCATGTTTTATTTATATAGCGCCAAATCACAAAACAGTTGCCTCAAGGTGCGTTTATATTGTAAGGTTAAGACTCAACAATCAGACGACCCCTTGAGAGCGAGCACTTGGCAACTGTGGGAAGAAAAACAAATGGCAAACTGTGGAAGTAAAGCACAGATTCATTGTTATGCATGTATATAATTTATTGTCTAGGGTGATCTTTAAATCTGATACTTGGATACTTGGATCCAACACATTCCAGAAACTGCTGAGGTGGGGCAATCTCCCTGTCCTCTGTTTGCATTGGAGCACCTTGAGAGTGGAAAATCCCTGTCAGCATAAGTTTTTTTGTTGTTGCAAAAAAAATAAAAAATAAATAAAGCCAAAAATACCCCAAACTGTCCAGGCATGAAGTTAGTTACACACAACAAAAATACCAGTCCGGTTTCTTCATCTCGCAGAAATGTGTACTGTTTGCGTTAAAGGGGCAAGGTTAAACCCTTATCGTGCAGAGAAATATTTTATTGAAGGCCAAAAAAACCCCCCCAAGATGAGAGCCTGCAGCACACACAGGGAGTAGGACTGTTTCATAGTTCTGAAAAGTAATCAGTAGGTACAATTCAGACTTGCACTCATTTCACATCAGTTGCTTAAATACCACAACAATGTGAGCAAAATGTCACACGTTTGGCTTAACACACTGCACTGGAACCAGAGCTGGAGAGTTTTAAAAGGTCATATAAGGTGATTTATTTTTTATTTTTTCCTGCCATTTGTACACCCCTGCAGGGGATCAAATAACACGACAGGGAATTTTTCGACGTCAGAAAAGCCGAGAGTCGATAGTTACAATCGTTACACAAGCACGAGTCAGATGGGGTCATCGAAATCAAAATATGGCTTGAGCAGCTTAATTTTGGAACATCAGTCTTGATGATGCAGCGTCTGCTGGGCTATAGCCAGACATCCATTTTTGGTAATAAACTGAAATGAGCTCACAATTTTGAGGGGGATTTTTATATTGCCAGTAATTTTCTGGGATTCTGCTCCATTCAAATCTATTAAAGTCATTATACTATACAAGAAAGACAAAAACAGCTCTACTCTGGCTCCTGAAGGACTGTAAGAAATTAACATTTAGCTGAGCCACAAGAAAATTATCACAAGACATTAAACTGGTTGTGTGTGTGTGGCTTACATTGTCTGCCCTTTTTGTTTTTTTCCTTTTTTTTTTTTTTTTAGCAAATCCAGTTTGTGGAGGACAAGCAGGAGTTCAGCAGGTTCCCCACCAAGGCAGGCCGTCGCTCCCTGTCCCGCTCCATCTCCCAGTCCTCCACAGACAGCTACAGCTCTGGTAAGAAGGAGCCAGAATCACGTGTGTGTCATTTGTGTTGTAGATGCAAAAGATTTTACACTGTGTTGTATTTATGGAGGTAATGAGAGGAGTCCGTTAGGCCATTTGATGACATCAATATTCGTACATTTCTTTGTTATAGGTTTTGTGGTAATGCTTCTTTTTGTCATCCTCATCTCATTTTGACCTTCAGCAAAAATGATTGCTTAACTTCCTGAATCTTGAGTTTGGTTGGTGTTAATAATAAAACCCTCTTTTACAGCTGCATCATATACGGACAGCTCTGATGATGAGACCTCGCCACGGGACAAAACTCAGGTCAACAGCAAGGGCAGCAGTGACTTCTGTGTCAAGAACATCAAGCAGGCTGAATTTGGCAGACGGGAGATTGAGATCGCAGAGCAAGGTCAGCACGAGGAGCGTGAAGTGATCTCAGCATTTCATTTAAGCAACATCTACTAAATTTACAAGTGTTGTGGAGGAAAACAAAACAGGAATCAAAGGTTAATGTTTAGGTAGCAATGAATAACACTGTCGCCTAAAAATAAATCCCCTTACACAACTGAAGTGTGACATTTCAAGGGTAGAATATTTCACCCCGAACATAAGGTTATTTGAAGTTATTGAGTAATGTGAGTAACTTTCTCAGTCTGTCGCTGCTGTAAGTGATATTAATTTGTTTGTAAAAAGGAAAGTAGTTGTCATGATATCACATCTCAAAAGATGTTAAGATCTCTAGCACATTGTCCATTCTTTCTTGCTTTGGATCAAAGAACCTGTGCTTTAATAAGATGAGCCACGTGGTTTTAATCATGTCTGGATATGATACAGAATAAAATCTTGTTAGTCTCATCATACAAGAGTTAAGTATCTGTGCAGATGAGTGTTTGATGCTGAGAAGCAGGCCTTATTAATGTGCCAGTTACGAATGTAACAACAATATTTTATAATCCTAATTTAAAACAAAAAAATTCATGATACATTTATAGTTCACACTTAAGATCTTTACTAAATTTATCAATCAGTATTCATCTGTTTATAATTTCTCGACAATAAAACATTAACATGATTCCTGCCTGTAGTATTTCGTACAACATGAAAAAAAGAGAAGGAAAAACTGGACATGATTCATAAACAGACTCTGCATTATTGAGCAACACTGACATTTGGAACCTAAAGCAGCATTTTAAAGGTCTGTTTGCTGGCAAAACGTCACTGAAGCAGATGGGAAACTTAAGCTTGTTCGCTGCTGTTGCTGCTGCTGCTGTTATTTAAGCCCTGGTCACACAGGCCTAGAGGCTTGCTTTATTTAAGAAATACAACACACAACCAACTATAACACTACATATTTCCACCCAAGAGAGGAAAGTAAAAACTGTATATTTCAAAGAGTCCCTTTATCCATCTTTCAAAAAATAGCCAGTAGCTCTGTATAAAGATAACTGCCTTTAACTGTTAAAGGTTTAGTTTTATTCTGTAACGCCTGCTAAAAGAAAAGGATGAATTTCTTTTCTACTGCATCGTCTGCGTTGAAGTGTTTCCCACTGACTATTTTCATTATGTAATCTTGTTTTCAGATATGTCGGCACTGATCTCACTCAGGAAGAGAGCACAGAGTGAGAAACCGTTGGCAGGTGCCAAGATTGTGGGCTGCACTCACATCACTGCCCAGACTGCAGTAAGATTCATCTCTGACATCGAGCTTCAACGCCTGAGCAAAGACCGCACTGTGATTGTGTCTCTTCGTCATATAGGACTTTAAATCACTATTTAACTGCTTCTTACTTCACACAAGCTCGTGCTTCCTCTTATTATTATATTATTATTTTGAATTAAATGAGTAAAAAGAAAATCTATTGTATTTCAATTAAAATGTATGTAGCTGGCTGTGTTCATGGGCTGTCAACAGCCAGATGATCCCAAAGAGTTAAAGATAATGTATGTAGACGTGGGTCATGGTAAATTCATGTGTTATATAACAATAAAATACACTTATTGTGACTGTATTTCTTCAGGTGCTGATTGAGACTCTGGTTGCTCTCGGAGCTCAGTGCCGCTGGACCGCATGCAACATATACTCCACACAGAATGAAGTGGCTGCTGCCCTGTCGGAGACAGGTAAGCAGCAGAGATGGTGAAGAAGCTCAAAGACCATGTTGGGTCTTCTAGGCGAGCTTGATTGCAAACAACATTGTGATAACAGCAGAACACAGGATCAGATAAGGCTTCTTTTTAATCTTTAATGAGCAAAGGTTTGTTCTGTTGTGGGAGCGTCTCGTGGCTTTTAAAACCAAGGTTACGGTTTGTAAATGTTAAACTCATGACAGTTCATCCCTGCAGACTTAATGGGAACACATAACTCTGTCCATGTAGTGAATTAGCAGCACTCTTTATGCCCTTTATCTGCGGTTGCTATGTGATGGTCAAAGTGTGCATTAAATTTTCAGAGTAGACTCGTCATGATCGGGAAGGCTGGGGGAGTCTCAGTGATCTGCATTTTTTTACAGGGTGTCTAGTGCTCATTTAATTACTGCTGTACGTACTGTACTGAGCTGTTCATTAAACTGAAGGGCATGTAGAGAGTACAAATGTCTGCCACTATTAAACTGGTCTCAAACTTGCTTTTACACCCAGTAATCATATTGATATCATCTGTTTGGAGTGTGACACATTTCATTTGAACAAATACTATGTCATGAAAAATCTTTGGTTTCCACTGAGATGAGTGAGATATTACATCTATAATACCAGTTATTAAGCGAAGAGGTGAATTTGACTGTATTCACTGTCTTTATTTAAGACTTTATGTATGCTTTCATGCAGTTTATCCAGTTTCTGCTCTGTGAAATGAACGAGACAACGTAATTGCTCATCAACATTGAAGTGGTTTCTTGATATGACGTACTGCTACTGAGACACTATCGCCCATCTGCTATGTTTTAGGTGTGGCTGTGTTTGCCTGGAAGGGGGAGTCTGAAGATGACTTCTGGTGGTGTATTGACCGCTGTATCAACACTGAGACCTGGCAACCTAATATGGTTTGTGGAAAACATTTTTCAGGTGCTGTACATGGACATTTCTTTTGCCAGGTGTAATATGTGAATGATGTACACAAACAGCAATGTTGAAAAGACCCAAATAACACCAGAAGAAGAACCCATTCATTAATAACAGTCTGTAAATATTTAATTACTGAAGAGAAGATGAGAAACACCACGCTCTGTTTATAAGAAGATGACGAATCTTTTCCTCCTGCTTATTAGATCCTGGATGATGGGGGAGACTTGACACACTGGATGTACAAGAAATACCCCAATGTATTCAAGAAGATCAGGGGCATTGTAGAGGAGAGTGTCACTGGGGTTCACAGGTAATTTATTTTTGGATATGTGGATATTTGCTTTCTTGACACATTTAGTTGCGAGCCAACATGTTTCCATCATGTTTCTGTCTAGGTTGTATCAGCTGTCTAAAGCTGGAAAACTGTGTGTGCCTGCGATGAATGTAAACGACTCTGTGACAAAGCAGAAGTTTGATAACCTGTACTGCTGCAGAGAGTCCATCTTGGATGGGTGAGTAAGCTCGGGTTTTAAATGTTTTGCTCATGTATAAACAATATTACAGTTTGTATGTTGGATAACTTAAATAACATGGTTTAAGGGGGGAAAAGGGGGAATCCAGTAATTTTAGTAACTTTTCTAGAAGTGATAAATGAGAACAACTTATCAACTTAGAGTTTAAAACCTTTAGATATATGTGCTTTCCTTTATACAAATCCATCTCTATGTACACACTTTATATTTGAATCAATGTAATATAAAGATTTCTCTGGCTCCAGAGGGAGCTAAGCAAGGTAATTTTGTGTTGTGTTATCATTTGTCTACAAGTGGGGAAATCTGGCAGAACAGGCCCTTTATGGTCTGCTTTTCATCTCAGCATCATGTTAGTGGGTGCAAACACAATGTGCTTAAATCTCTGGATGATGGTCGATTTGGACTGCGGGTAATTCTTTTGGCTTTTGGGTCAGCTTTTCACAGGAGTGAAGAGAGTGAGGAATAAAATGGAGAAAATCTCTTTGTTCAGCTGCATCACTTGTGTTGCAAAAGGGTCTCGTGACCACGTTGTAAAGAAAAATAAGCATATATCACAGCATTATTCATTAATAACAATCATAATTGATGTTAGTGGAGGACGGACAGCCTCATATGCTGCTATCACAAAGAATGTTGCCGTTAAAGATTTAAACTTGATTTTTAAAGAGATGTTACCCTTGTAAAAACTTGTCTAGTGTGAACATTGCACACTCTGCAGTCTCTGAAACAGCCTGACAGCACAGTTACATTTATAACCCTACTGTTATTTGGCAGCATAAAAGGTCTAGTGTTCTTTAACAGTGTGTGCACATTTCTGCATGGAACAGTGCTTGCTGTGCTTTTCTGTGCTTACTGCAGAAAATTTATTGCTGTTCCTCTGGATTAATTATCAGCAGGTACAATGTTGTCTAGTAGCAGGTGTTCCATTATTAAATTCTAATGATATTTCCTCGGTTAGTGACCAGGGCTAACTGAGAAAATTGGCTTCCACATTACTGTGTTAATTTAATTTGAAGTGGGCTTGTATTGGAAGCAGGTCTTATTTTCTAATACCCTCTATTTGACAGGTGTAATTTGTCATATTTTTGGTGCCTTGCCTAATCAGCTTGTTTCCTTTATTAAAGCTATTGCACTATAATGAATATTGTGTAGAACAGCGAGCCACTTCTGATAAGGATTGGTGAAGTGGCTCAAGTTTCTCTACAGACAACATGAGGGGCTCACGTTTCATGCCTGCATCTCTGCTGAGGGATTGTTCTTAACCCAGAAACCCACTGCACTCCTGCTGTCACAGCTTATTTAGTCTAATATGAATGACTAACTGAATTATATAAATATAATGGGACCAACATGGTAACTTGCTATAAATGACTGTGTGTAGGATGTTTTGAACATTTGAACATCGATTTGAACATCGTTTTGAACATTTTGAACATTGTCAGCATCATCGAACACATAGAGTCAATCAGTCAGTCAAACTCCCACATTCATGAAGAAGACCCTGAGAGACTTAAACTGCTTCATTTGGGGCAACAAAAATTCCCTGGACAACATGGCTCTTAGGATCACTAGAGCGCACAGACTCCAGTGTGACAATGTGGAAATTTAGGATATATTACAGAGACTTTTGATATAAGCAGTACCAAATAACATTTTACTGTGTGCCATAATTTTGCAAACACTATTACAGATTGGCAGTTTTGTTTTCCAATTCTACAAAATGTGCTAATTTTGTGTCTTAAATGTCTGTAGTTTGAAGAGAACCACAGATGTCATGTTCGGAGGCAAACAGGTGGTCGTATGTGGTTACGGCGAGGTGAGTTGTTTCCTTTCAGTTTATCATTCTGCAGTAATCATAATCGCATAGTTGTGAAAATGTGTGAGACATTTTAAACATGCCCTTTAAACTCTTTTCTGTAGTTTGCCATTCATGAATTATCTACATTATTTTGTCTTTTCAGGTTGGAAAAGGTTGTTGTGCTGCTCTGAAAGCATTGGGAGCCATTGTCTATGTGACAGAGATTGATCCCATCTGTGCCCTGCAGGCCTGGTGAGGAAAACATGATGAATGTATCGAGCGATAGGAACAGGAAAAAGCTGCAGAGATAAAACCGAGCTGTCCAGAAAACTGTTCGTGTTAATTATCTGACAAAGATATGAAAAACTAATGATCAGCTTTAACTCAGATGCACTACACACCCAATCAACAATTGATTTGCTTGTCAGTAAAAAGAGATTTTCCAGCCTGTCACTGTCCAGGCCTGAGCTGAATGCAGAATCTCTTCCTTCTTTTGTGTGTAAATAGCATGGACGGATTCAGAGTGGTCAAGCTTAATGAAGTCATTCGCCAAGTAGATGTCATCATCACATGCACTGGTAACTACATTTAATACAAAAGTGTTGTACTCACTGACATTTTTATAGCTTTTTAATATAACATAAGAAGTTTTAAGTTCATGGAGTTTTCCACTGCTTCTTAGGGCTCCAGAGCGTTTATTTCTCCTGTAATAGATGAGGATGGTATATGTTTGTGCCTTTCTGTAGGAAATAAGAACGTGGTGACCAGGGACCAGCTGGACAGAATGAAAAATGGATCCATTGTCTGCAACATGGGACATTCCAACACTGAGATTGATGTGGTAAAATAGTGCTTTAACGTATGATGGTAGAATTTAAAATTTAATACCACGATTATACATATAAGTAAAGATCAAATAAATATTCTGTCATTTTAAATGATCACAAAACGAGGTTTACTTGTGTTCTCGTCTCAACTAGGCAAGTCTACGGACCCCCGAGTTGACCTGGGAGAGAGTCCGCTCTCAGGTGGATCATGTCATCTGGCCTGATGGCAAGAGAATTATCCTCCTGGCTGAGGTGACTGCCTGTGTCTGTGTCCCTTCACTTATGCATTTGTGTCAGTTATAGCTACACAACATTAAACTGCGTTACAGCTATGCACGTGTGATCTCAGGTTGATAGCATCCTTGTTAATAAACAGTGTTGATCCAGTCCGATCCATTCTCCTCTTTAATGTGCTCTCATATCAAATCGCTTTCAGCTTACGTTAGACTGTAACAATTGTGCTATAGACCTTTGATTAAATTACTTTTTAAAGCCTGCGATAACGTGTTGTTTTTTGTCCAATAGGGACGTCTCCTGAACCTCAGCTGTTCCACTGTCCCTACCTTTGTGTTGTCCATCACAGCCACCACTCAGGTAACATGTAATTGGATGCTGACGGCAGCTGAAGCTAGACCATATTTGCTGTTGATGTCTGGTGCAGATAGCAGAGTACATAGGAATCAGTGTGGGTTTTTTTTTTTGTTGTTGTTGTTGTTGTTTTTTCCATTTTCTGTAATTAGATGGCTGTCCTTGCAGATAAGCTCATTTGCTGACGCTGATATGTTATAATACACAGGACACTCAACATCTACACGCTGTTTCTGCTCATAGTTGCACTCTCTCATTATAATCAGCAGTTCATAATTTAATCCTGCGCTATTCATTAAATTCATAATGTGCAATAAAATTTCAGCAGTGTTATTGATGTTTGTTTTCAGGCTCTGGCACTCATTGAGCTGTACAATGCTCCAGAGGGACGTTACAAGCAAGACGTTTACTTGCTTCCCAAAAAGATGGGTAAGGATTTAAATACTTAACCACTGCCTGTATTATTTACATGTTGAAAGCCTACAGGCATTATTTATGGACGCCTGCAAGAATGGAGTGCATGAACTGACAGATACCCATCTTCTGTGTGTGCGCCCATTTCTTTCTTATTAATGGATGTCTTTGTTTTTCAGATGAATATGTTGCGAGTCTGCATCTGGCCACGTTTGATGCCCACCTGACAGAGCTTAGTGACGAGCAGGCAAAATACCTGGGTCTGAATAAGAATGGCCCTTTTAAACCCAATTACTACAGGTACACTTTTACACATTTTAAAATTTTGAAATGGGGAAATATTTTTAAACTTATATTAACTTATTGTTATTGCACTAGGTTGTTTGCCAACACATAAACAATTTTTAAGAATTGTGTTGCATTCACATTATCTGTTTTTGTTGTTGTTATTCACAGGTATTAGTCTGTCTCACCTGAGAACAACAACATGTGGATGGTTCCTGATTAGTACCCGACCTCCAGGCAAAAAAAAGATTTGTGTATTGTATTTTTTACCCTTCATGGGACACATGGCTCATTTACTTGTATTTTAGTGACTGTAGAAAGTTTTGCTGCTTTACCAATGACACCCAAGCTGGCAATGAAAAGTGAAGCGTATGCACTCAGCTCATGTGAGGTAACACATGCAAAAAAAAGAAAATATATGATTTTTTTTAATTGCATGCGTTTCCATTCTGAAAGCTGTTGGGTATATCAGCATATTGTGCCAAATGACTGTGAGAGGAGGGTTGTGGTTGTTCAGAAATATTAGTTGTTAAACATGCTAAACCCACACGGCGCACTATTTTTGTATAATCATTCCCTCCATGTACTGCAAAGCAGTTACTTAAAATGCCAAACCCAGGAATCTCAGGAGCTTACTGTGCTTTTTATGCACTTTTAGCTCCTTATTTTTGGCATTCTCATCAATATTGTGCTTAAAACTGTTTGCAGTCTTTTCCTTAAAAACAGACAAGCCAACAATTGCAAAAAAAAAGTGACATGATTTAAACTCCTGGTTGTTGTTTTTTTTTTTTTAAATTTCTTCTCTCAGGAGTAGGTGGACCAAATCGGAGTTGAAAGGCCAGTTGATATGAGACTTAATGTTACTTTTAAACTAGCCAGTGATTTGGCATTAATCGGATGTCAAATCAGTTTTTCCTGTGTATCTGCTGAGTAGGCAATCGTCTGCTTACAGATGAGCCATAATAACCTGATGAGCTGACTGTAAATCAAAGTTTTGTTCCTCTGAGTATTTTTACTGTCCAGTGGTCAGAAATTGCTCTGTGCTGCTTTAATCGTTTCTTCCTGCTTTGATATTAAAGCACTTAATCACCTTATACGTTCCATACACAAGATACACTCCTGTTGTAGTATCCTCACAATTAGTGCTAACCTTCACTGGGCATAACAGAAACATAAGCGCTTGTTGAGCATAGCAAATGTAAGAGCTTGTCTTTTTTTTTTTTTTCTTGAAAAATAATTTGTCCATTTATGAGGTTTTGGTGTCTGGTGAGAGTTATATCTGTACCTCAGGGCATTCAAATATCTCTAATTATTTGTAAATATATGTCAATGCATCTGCACTATCTAATCTTAGTATTCATGCGTAATCTGTTGGTTTGAATTGAATATTTACAGCACATCTGTAAATTAGAGGGATATAATCGTGTCTGTGATCCGTGTCATTTTTCAGGTTTAGCTGTTCAGAGTAAATTGAAATTGGCGGCTTTGTAAAGCTAGCTGAGCATTGTTACATACAACACATTTATACTGTACATACAGCAGCGTCTGATCAGCTGGTCTCATAATGCTGTGTCTTGTTAGATTTGTCTCAGGACTCTGTTAAAGAATGCTAACAACGGAAAAGTAACTGTTGTTTCCTAAATGCTCTGGGACTAGACATGGATGAGCTTTGTTGTATTAGCTTTACCTCCCGTTATCTTGTGGTATTATAGTTATTCTAATCCAACACAGTATGTGTGTTTCCAGAAGATTGTGATCATTTTAAAGGCTTACGCACTGTGAGGCGTAAACGCTTGTGAGGCTTGTTAAATGCAAAGTCACATTTTGCTCTGTTATATTCACATGTGATTTTTTTTAAACAGTGGGCACTTTGGATGACTGAGTTGAGCAACTCATTTTATGTCTAAACTAGGTATTACACAGATAGTTGTATCTTGTTGAACTTGCAGCTCTTCAAC